GCCGTCGAAAATTCTGCTTTGTTTTTGGTTCTGTGTGTAAAGAGTATTAGGAGCTATGGGTTAAATGCTTATTTTGGTTTGTCTGAACAAATATTTGCTGGAATACCGGGACTGACATCTAACATCTGATAAATCACACCATAAACTTCCAGTTTTGCTGCTCTTTTCGCCCTCAAATACAGTGCTGATCTGTGACAAACTTGTTTTGATAACCTATAACGCATATAGGTCTCGAAAACGATCCTACATCAAACGGTTAAGGGCAGCGCCCTAAAATCTCAACTTCCCAACCTACACAACTTATTTATCCGAAGACACGAACATACGATACGACTTGAGCTCGTCGTAATGCTTCTTCGATTCATGACAGAAGCACTAAAGGCAGTGTATTCTCACCGTTAGTAATCGGAGCTACGATCGTTTCATCCATCGGCTTGAGAGCAGAAGGCGGTGCAGATACTGCGGATGAGATTGTGGATGGCACTGCTGCTGCTGCATAACGCTGAAAAAAAAACCCCACGTGCCTCTATTAAACGTATAACGAATTTCAAATTACTTTAGAAAACAAAGCGATATATTAGGTGGTACAATGAGGGGGCCAGAGCACAACACTGTATTGCATAGTCCTTTTGTAGAGCCTGTTCTGAATAGTGTTCTTTTTTTATTTCTTCTATCTCATGCAAATGCATGAAAACCGGTTTGTTTTGCAAAAAAAGATACAAGTTTCCAAGGCAAAGTCAAAAGATTTTAAAAGCCTAAATGGAAAAAAAAACTTATTTAGAAGACAGACATGTTTTTTAAAAAGTCAAAAGTCAGATCTCCCCCGTATTCGCTCTCCGTAAAAGGTGAAGGTATTCAAGAAACAGCCCGAGTAGTAGCAAATGCCAAGTACAACCACCGTCTGGGAAGGCTATGGACGGCTCCCTCTTCCGAAGGTCACTTCTAATTAATTATGTTCGTTTGCAATTAAGCAAATAATGCGCTTCTTAATCGAATTTTTGCATTTTTTCGACATATATGATTTTGGAATCGTAGGAAAACTAGCCAAACGCTGGAAAAATTAAAAATTTGAGGTGCATGATGCTTAAGTATGGGATGCCTACACAACAATGGAAATGTGTGAATAAGCCTGGCAAACAGAATGTTTCAAACGTCTGCAGCAAGGCACAGCAGTGGGCAACATACCAATAAACGGAAGATCCAAAGATAAGAACGGTGATAAGACCAGTTATTTCTCGGACAAATTCTTAAAAAAAAATGGCCAGCGCCCCAACTGCTGGTGCAAGGATGCGTTTTTTGTACAATTCCCCGCAGATTTTTGTTTTTAACGGCACCGTTTTTCTTGACAAATGCTTCTAGCTAAAAGAACTGAGATTCCCAATTTAGCAAGTTACCCAAAAAAAACTTTTACGGGCCCATATGTGGGAACCACGCGTACGCGGAGGCTAGGTTTGAATTCATTAATACCTATGTGGACGGGAAACACTCCCTTAAAATTTTAACTTTCTAGCTTTTCTGTTTTCCAATTTAGCAGTTTCCCTGCCAAAAACTTTGGCGGGCCCGACGTGAATACCACGCGGGTAAGAGCGCCCATTTTGGGGATTGTCCCAAAGTTTCAACCCTGTAGCTTTTACCAGGACCAGAGATGAAAAATCGGTACAGACGCACACACAGGCAACCCCTCGTCAATATGCGTTTTCTGTCATTGTACAGATAAAAAAACGCATAAAAACGAGGTCTCATTTGCGCTGGAGCCGCATTCCTTCCTCTACCGTTTGCAACTGCACACAACACAAATATGACGAAAACTACAACTAACATGTTCTTTGGTCTTCTTATGCTTTTTCTTCTGGTTCTTCTTCTTGTTCGTTCCGGCTGCCGGTCTTTCCCAGGCATCCAGTGCGCTCTGTGCTCCATCTAAATCAATGGTCTTCAGGTGAGCACATCACACCGATGAATAGTTAGTGAAAATTTACAAGTTTATCGTCTAAATGTCAACAACTAAGTCCAAATATTTGTTAACGAAGCAATTTTCCCGGTGTAAATTGCCAGTTGCTAAGACTGCACAAACGAGCTGAAGCAAGAAATTCGAGTGCTAAATGAGTTACGCCTCATATGCAAAGCATACGTCACAGGCCCAATACTGGAGTAGATTTCAGTACCGCTTTTCAGAGCATAACAAGAATGCCAAGACTGCGATCAATGTGGATATCTCCTGTTAATGATGTTACTAGGATGCTCCCAGAAGTCCAGCGCAACTATGTCAGGCCTTTCGATCCTGGGCTGCATACTTCCATTTAGTACCATCACAGTTTTGCTATTTGTGCCGCTTCTTCATGACTCGCCCGGAACATCGAATTGGCAAATATCGTTCGTCCTATCAGGCAACACTGTAAACGAATTAGAGAATTCGCACCGGGGAAAAAAAGATGAACGAACCATCGCAGAAGGCCTGGATGGTCTTGTTGACGTCGAAATCGAAATCATGCAAGGCAAGGATGATGTCGTTTTTGGGTGCAGTGTGGACCACTTCGCGAACTTTGGCAATCGCCTCCTCAATGAATTGCTTCTCATTACGGTACTGTTGCGCCGCTGACGACATTTCCACGATGCACTGCTACAAACGAAGCGGACGAAGGGCTCGCACGCAACACTGCAACAGAATCGCTTACGCCTCTCATTCTAACGCAACTGCAACAGACAATGGCACGTCGATTTGGCAGTGGGAAACAGACATACTAATTGAAAACGTCAGTGCCACAAAATAAAAGGCACGAAAGTAGAACAATCCAAATGATCACAAAAGGTACCACAGTGGGGCGGAACCGGTGACTCGACTATTTGCGCGTCATTAAACATAAATGAAACATCTGCAGTAGTCACTGTGGCATATGAGGCGAACACAGCGCTCCCCTCAAAAATGAGGACGCTTGAAACGCCAGCAAAAAAAAGAAAAGGCAAAGATGGGAGCACTTTCTTTAAACGCTCTTTCTGTAAAAATCTTGAAAAACACTACTGAAAAGCAACAGTCAAGTCTTTTAAGCCTCCCTCAACACCCACGCATTCTCTGTAAAATACCACTGACACTTCATCGTCGTGTTCCTTCTCGCCATCGATGCAGCTAGTAGCTTTTCGGCGCTTTGAGCTTCCCTCATCCGCGCAACTCCGTACAGTCAGTTATTTCAGCCGACTCTTCGATGACATTACTATTCTTTCAGGAATCGTTTAAGCATGATGCCGTGACAATTCAGCGATTCGCTTTATCCTCTGTTGTCTCTCATTCTCACCGTGCAACCAATCCAACTCTTCCTGACATATATACCACCTCGAGAACACTGGTTGCCCCAAATCGAAATTGCAAAACTTCATTGGGAGATGAGCTGATGCCCATCATGCATCGATCGATGTTCAGATCACTGCTAACTTCCACCAACAATGGCATCCCATGCATCGCTTGCACACACAAAAGTGGTTCCTTACTTCCCCTCCTACCTTACCTCTATCTTCTTAAACAGTCTTTCCTTACTCACTTCCTAGCATCCATCTCTTCTCCCTTTTTTCTTCTTCCTTACGCACTGCGACCGTCATACTGACGAGGTCCAATCGCAGTGTGAAGTTAAGATGTATATGACTCAATGGACCGAAACATCTTAGCTCACTCTTACTCCCGACTTACACTATCCTTTCTTACTTGTACACCCCATCATCTGCTCCTTCAGGATTGACCTGGAGGCTGCAACCTAACTGACGAAAATGAAAAAATTTTTTTCGCCGACAGTGCTATGACAGCGCCGAAAAAATGTCCTGTAACTTGGTGAAAGCTATTTCTCACATGCTCATACGCTTAGCTTTACATACAACTTGCTGCTCATCTGTACTGTTTGTTCAAATACTGCAAGCTAAAGTTGCAGATCTAAAGTTTGATGAAATACGAGTTTTTTATATACTTAGTTTTCCATTCATATACATGGTGCACTGGCCAAAGCAGTCCCGAAAAGACTGCTTTTTTTGCCCAATTTTTTTATTCACTTACTGTAGCGCAAAGTACATTGTCACCTCCCTTTTTTCTCCGAACACTTTCCACCCTTTTTAAGCTTTCACGGTCTCATGTGAGCCAGCAAAATTAGACAATGATCGCAGCAACACAGCTCATCCAGTACACTATTCCAATCCAATTTCCGAAATACCTTTCCGGGGCAGACCCCAAAAAGTTTGGGCGACATGGGATACCTCACTCCCCTTCCCCGTTTCCGGTCAGTATACGGTTTGGAATTGAAACCCAGGCTGCCAGCAAACATTCTACCAGCAGGAAATCTGAGCGACTGTAAATTTTTGCCCATTAAACCTTTGGTTTTTTTTGATATTTTTACGACGAATATATATGGTAGCAATCAAACAAACGAAGGAAATGAAGATGTCCGGGGTGGAATATAAGAGGATTCATGTGCAGAAAAGGGCTGAACAAAGGCAAAAAAAAAAGCATCTATCCCTGGCCCTTGATCTTTGAATGAAATATGCTCCCGGAGCTGAAACTTTCGTGTACGCACAGTGATAATTTCTGCTCTGATTGCACAAAATTCGTGCTCGTCGCTGTTTCGTTCTGACAGGAGATTGCGTGCGAAGGTAGCAACAAGAGCAGAACTGAGCACAGTTTATACACACATTCACACCACACACACACACATGCTGCCCCACTCCCCTGCTGCCTTGCCTCTGCCCATCTCCGAGAAAAACTGGCCCTCAGACCGAAATTACAGTTTTGTGACATGCACCCGAATGAACGCATGGCGTGATTCACTGCTAGCCATCCTGGAAATTCAAGCGCTCAATGACAGCAGTGGACACTCGGAAGTACCCCCGCCCCAAATGACAGGCGAATGCATTAGCTGCAGCGACTGCATCCACCGAACGAAGCTGTCGTTAGCTCAAGCATTCCTTCTAAGCAAACCATTGGCGGACGTAACTATTTTATCAGCGATACAAATTAAATAAGTAGCGACGCATACCAGGGCAGCCGGTGCGATCATGCGTTTTATGTAACTCCGTCCACCGCCTTCTAATGATTTTCACTGCTCTGTATTTTAATTTGAAGGGTTCCACCTGGACGGGGAACAGTCCTCCAAAATTTCAGCTTTCTAGATTTCACAGTTCCCAAGATAATTTACCAGCCAAAAGTTTCATCGAGCCATATATGGGAAGGCTGAATTTAGATTTTCTGGATCGCATGTGGACAGGGACATACCATAAAATTTTAGTTCTCTAGCTTTCGTGGTTCCCGATATAATAATTTTCCTCGCCAAAACTTTTACGGGGCCGCATGTGTTACTCACGGGCATGAGGGACTGAATTTAAATTTGCGGGGTCACACGCGGGTGGGAAATACACCCCCAAATTTTCAGCCTCCTAACTTTTGTGGTTCCCGAGTTTAAAGCTGCAGATAAGTTGCTGCGGACAGACAGACAGACACACACACAGAAAACCCCATGGTAATATGAGTTTTGTACTGCTGTTACACAGCACAAAACGCATGAAAATCGTCTCAAAGGGTTAATACGTCCATTGGCGAGATCAGTGAATCGAAACATCCAATTTTTTAATACATTTATATAATCCCATATAATTTTTACAAGCCATTTTCACATAACTATCTGTTTTTTACAAATATCTCATAATTAATATCTCTATTCTTCTGGGCACTTGCTACACTACACCAGACCCATAAGCATTGAGGGTTACAGGGGAGAGAACCGGGAAGATTGCAGTAGCACGGCGATTTAACTGGACTGGTTACGGCGGCGATTGCCCGCAGAAACCTAAAAATGCGCAATGAGTGTGGCCGTACCGTCTGAAATTGTTCCGCTAAAAATAATGAAATTTTATTGCTCCCATTCCTGTATTTCATAAAAATTCGTGAGTAGGAAAATCTGAAAAAATGAAATTAATGACTGAAGAAACAGCGAGGAGCGCACCAACAGCATGAGGGACGAGGCCAACCGCCACCGCAAGCAGCATGCGTCAAAAAACACTGGAAAACAGCCAAATACGCATCGCACGGGCACTTCTGGGCTGACCAATGTAAAGCAACAGGTCGTGAACATCAGGTATGGGTCTAACGAGCCACAAAACAAACTGAGAGCAATCAGGCAATCCCAGCGTCGTGAAATCCGCGCAGAAGAGCGGTGGGCAGACGGAGAATCAGCCAACAAAAATGCGTTTTTTGCATGATTTTACTGCCGGGGAAATGAGGGATTTGCCTGTTGGGCAGGTGCAAAGAAGCATGATAGCCATGGCCACGCTTATCTCAGTCCTCTCTCGTTCGCAGCCAATGGCCAGGTGCAGTTGCCTCCAGGGCTATCTCAGTAACATGGAATACCCACGTGTCTGTCCGGCTCATTTGTAATTCCAAAGTGAGAAAGCTGAGTCATTCTACAGCACCGAACGGACATTCGCCCACAGCTCCACCGTTTTCGCTTGCCCACATCAACCGAACAACCTGAGAAAACCCCGGGAAACAACAAATACTTGTGGTCCACTAGCATTCATTAGAGCGAGCAATTAAACTCTCCAGTATACTGCGTGGAAAAGAAAATAAATGGCAACGCGTACCAGACTAGCCGATGCGATCATGCGTTTTGTCCAATTCAGCCTATCGAACGATTGTCTATTAATGATTTTCACTGCTTTGTACTTTTGTCTGTGCAAAAATAGTTCAG